GTGGAAAATATGCTTAACCGCTTTTAAGTGAAAGTAAATTAGGCACTACGATCTCTCATTTCAGAAGGTACAAAGCGAGTATAAGTTAAAATTGCAATTAGAGCTTTAAGAAAACCTACGTGACTATTCACACAGTGAAAGAACTATTTCAACGTCTTAATTTTTATTAGTTTAATTTGAAAGAAAAGCTCTCATTCGAAAATAATTGGATATTAAAAGTCAGGTCGCGATAGCTTCGCATTCGAGATTTTGCTAATCTTTGTTCTTATTGGAGATACCTAAACTACAGTCAACGAAAAATTATGTAGACCTTAGTTAGAGGCCTAAGAAAACATCTTTCGCATAGTTAACTTACGAATCTCGTAAAAAGAAAATCGCTGAAAAAGCTCTATTGATATTATACTAAAATTTGATGCAATTTGGTGAGGTACATAGTTTTCCTTTTTTGAGGTTTTATAGATCTGCAGCGGAGAAAGCACCGAAAGCGAAAACTTTTGATCTTTCATGCTCACAAATTGCTATTCAAATATTTTTCCCAAGATTTGGGATCCAGCTCATTGAAATCCGACGAACTGTTTTTTTTAGTACCTAAACTGGAGTCTACATACTTCTACAGCGACAGTAATCCTGAAGCGTTGTAACATTTTATTCTTTCCGCAGGAATTGCATAGTAGGAAAACAGTATAGGATAAAAGTCTCAGACTTGGGTTACGGGAGGACTTTGTATATCAACGACTACTGCATCATTGCTGAATCAAGACCGCTTCCGTTAAGGTGGATGGCGTGGGAAAGCATCTTGCTGGTAAGAATTATCTCACAACAATCTTCCACATTTCCCATTTTCCATCTAGGGCAAGTACACATCGAAAAGTGACGTGTGGTCCTTCGCCGTCACGCTCTGGGAAATTCTATCCTTCGCACGGGAGCAGCCCTTTGAAGAGTTCAACGACTCCAAGGTGCTGGAAAACGTAACCTGCTACTATCAAGATAATGGACGGCATGTAAGTTACGTATCTTCCCCATCATCGTTAACTTACCAGGTCTTACCCACGCAGATTTTATTAAGCGTCCCGATCAACTGCCCGAAGGAGATCTACGACCTGATGTGCGAGTGCTGGCAGAGGAACGAATCGGACAGGCCAACGTTCCGAGAGATACACCTCTTTTTGCAGAGGAAAAACTTGGGATACCATCCCGAATTGAACTGACGGTGGCTTTTCTTTCTACCAACGACAATAATGTAGAATATGTGATATAACTTTAATTTGCAATTCTAAATTTGTTTTTTACTTAAGTGTACCTTAACGGCGAACGCCCCTCTAGAAGCTACCTACAATCTTTCGAAATTATGTCCTGACAGCACACTTCTTTCAGTTAAGGTACGTAAGTGCCAGTCTGTGTGCCTTCTATCCTTGCTGCTAACTTGCTTCCTACAAGTGCATTAAATTAATACGCCTCTCGTCAGCTTCCGATTCCAAAAGTTAATAATGTAGATGTTAATCTTGTTATTGGTGTTGGATTGTAAACAATACTTTATCCATATAGAAGCCAATCATTTTCAAAGCTACGAATATCGTTAAATATATAATGTAAGAAAATGCTACTCGGCGCTTTCAATAAAATTTACGTAAAATTATGTACCAAGCAAATTATATACAAAGAAAGCAATCATATCGGTTAAATAAATCAAAACCTCTAATCTTTGTAAATATAACATTACACGTAAGGTATGTAATTTGTCTTTTGTACATTAACATTGTTATTATTCTTACTACGGACCAATTTAAAATAAAATCGTAGAAATCGTGTTCATTTATTCCATCCGACCCTAAACTCCTGTTTGTCGATTAACTGAAAAAGGATAATAATGATTATTAAAGGATGCTTGCAAAGTGTAACGGTTAGAAAGTTGGAAGAGTAATGCTCGCTGTCAGTAAGGCTAACCGCAAATGAACAGCGAACCTCGTTTCCAAAAAAACATCAAGGAGAGTCAAATATACGCGCCCTTCTAACGTAAGGATATTAAAAAATTCTCCTGGCTGGAATAATTAATGTATGTAAACGTGCGAGTGGATGTGATTTCAGGTAGGTCGAACTAGCTTTGCACGCAAAATGGGTATTGATTTAGGTTTTTGCTTGCGTTGAAATTAAATAGCAAACAGTTTTGCATGTAACGCAGATTAAATGCTAGCATTTCCTATTATTTATAACGTTATTGAATTAGAAATGAGGATGTGCGTGGAAACATAAACTTTCGCCCGGGGGAGCGTTCATAATTCTTTTCAAAAGTATCGATTTTCATTTCAAAATCCGTTGTGCACGATATTCACGTTATTAATTGTTACATGTCCAAGTTGTCACCGAAACCACGAGTTTCTAGGTGTCATGGTGAAATGGTTACCCCTTTCCACCCCTTCGTCAAGATCAACAATTCAACAACCACTAACTAATTAGGTCAATACAATGGAACATAACGAGAATTCCCTCACCCCTAATACCAGTTGCAATGTACCATAAAAATTGAAGGAGGCATTTTAGGTGACCGGTGCCACCTAAAAATAGTTTTCTTCTGTACCTGGGGCATTTCTCTCCTTTTCAGTCGAATTATTTGCTTGATGTTGGCGTATTGGGGAAATGTTCCTTGTTACCCTTGCGACAAATTAGCGACACCTTGGTTTACCAACTGAAAATGATTCTGCGCCAAAACACCCGCGTCAAAACAAAATCACCCGCACTTGAGGGGCTGCGGGAAACCCTAATCATAACTATAGTAATCTATCAAAATAAACAATATTCCTTTGGCACTAAATACAATACGAAAAAGCCTCTTAAATTTGTTATTATCGCGCTTGTTATAAAACTTCATTACGGACAGGTCTGTAACTAATGAAGAGCGTTAAAAAACTTTAATCTCCTCAAGATTTCTCAATATCAAATGTAAAATCCCGCCATTAGGGAAACTTAAAAAACTCGAGGTTATCTTAAACTTTAATCGGTACTCAAGCATTTTATCAAGAAATATCGAAAATATTCCTTTGGCCACAACACGGAAGGATTTTTTACATTAAAAAACACTAAGTAAAATATTTTTTGTGAGGTGTTTCGACGAGGGTTATGGATAGCCCCTCAACAATTTTAAAAATTCCTGAATCAAGTATTGTGGTGAATCTAATTTTAAGTGCTAAAGGAATATTTTAGACTCCTTCTGGTTGGAATTTTTGAGTTAGATTGGAATTTCAAATAGTACCTCAAGATTCAGAAAATTTCTCTAATAAGATTTTGGTTGGAAACCAACTATACATTGGAATTCTGCTTACAGTTCTCTTTCTCACTCTCTTCTCAATCTGGAGAATCTAATTTAACAATTTACAAAACAATGTCAACATTATTAATTTTATTATCTATTTATTTATTGTTCTTCTCATGTTCTGGGCACTCAACAGGCTGTGACCCGCATAATGCTTTTTCGAGGTGCCCCTGCAGAAGGTAGTTGTTCTATACTACTCCGGTATTTACCTTACGAATTAGGAAAACTGCAGAAAAACCTAATTTGGAGTAGCCGGCAGAATGCTCGAAACTGATCTAAAGAAATTCCTATCTCTGTCACAGATGAAGAATTCACCTCAACGCAGGTTCGAACACCCGACCTCCCGGCTATGTAGCCCAACGTTCTACCATTGAGCCACACAGGCGGTATTATCTGTCCGTTTGTGTCGTCACGTGTTGTATATGTACCGAGATGAAGAAAATCGAATGCCGGGCTGTTCCTTACAAAACACGGAAAACCTCCAAAAATTATTCTTGAAGATATGTTGGCTGTATACGGGGATGATTTCCCTTCTAATTCAACTATTTCCGAGTGATCAATATTGACCCGTTAGGGTGCCCTGTTAACGTTATCACTTCAGATGTAGTTGAAAAACAGTCTTTGATACTGGAGGATGCACAACTAAAGAAGCCACAATTAACAGATTCACTAAGAGTTTCAGAAACCACCGTTAGGTATGGATAAAAACATTTTTTGGCAGAGCACCTATTTATTACATTCCTTTCCGAACTTCTTTATTAAATAATAGAGCTTCGCTCTGCCAAGTTGACGTAGAAAAAATCGTATTACCTCGCGAAATCTGGAAGACAATATTTGGTATTAATTAAACCATGTAAATGTAAAACAAATCACAAGTTTCCAGACTTTGCATACTCTCGTTTAACTAAAATGCACGCAAAGGATAAATGTGATTTTTTTTGTTAAAAAGGACCTTCAAGACGCCTCTCGCAACGAAAACGCGACGCGAAACAAAGACGGCGGTAAGTATTAGAAAAATGTTGTCATAGTCCTTTCGTTTATAGTTTCAATATCGCGATATTACCTGCCATAAAAAGCAGAAGTTAGAAATGGCCAGAGCTTCCGAGACTTCTGGAACAGGTAAACCGTAAAATGTCAAAATGGTGATGGAAATCGGGTGGTATGACATTCCGTTAAAAGCATTTCCGGATCAGCGACCGATTTTAACGTTGTGAATGGAACAGCCCGTCGATATGACTGCTATTCAATTTCCTCAAATATAAATTTTGTTATGTCATGTAGAAATTGATAGGCTGTTGCTTGATATACAGGTGTGCACTATGTAATAAAAATTAATATTTATTGGTATATGGCGCCTTGGAAAATCTAATTGCGTTTTAGTTTTCCGAGGCGGCATCAATTTTCACGTTAGCTTTCTCGGTTCGCTTGAAGACAATAAACGATAATAGCGTTTAACAACTAAGGCAATTTTGGTGAAATGTAAACCAGGAAATAGCACTTTGCAAGTATTTAACTATAAAACGCGATAAGATCAGGCTAACATGGCAGAATGATCCTGTTATTATGCGGAATCTTAAACCTTGTAACACAAAGCGTGCACTTTAATGTATTTACTGGCGAATTTGCTGAAATAACTATTTAATTGTCTCAGGGCATAAATTCGGCAGATTTTACACGCACGTGTAAGCGAAATTTGAGCAAACGCGAGGGATTCTTAAAGCGTCTAACCGCATTACTTACATGGATTCTGAAAGTTAAAATCTGTTGTATTCCCCAACATGGCTTTACAATTCACGACACATTATGGAATTGCAGAGTTCGAAGTAGTCGGAAGGAAGTTATACCTCACAATAACATTTGTCAGGTTCTGGAATGGAATTATCCTGCTCCCAGAGAACGGCGACAAATTCGATTATGTGGGTCTAAAGTGCTTAACCCTTAGAACATCTTCCTAAAATACAATTGCTACATTCTCATTCTCCGCGTTTTCTTAATTTTTTCGTTAAATCATAATTTAAAAATCTTTAAAGGAAAAATGGAACGCCCCTCGCGATGATTAACTGTGCCAAGACATGATAACTGTACATCTGAAATTGATGGCGATGTAGTTTTCAGGTCATCACCGTGTTCGTAAATATTAAAGCAGCTTTGTCACGGACGTTTTTCTATATATTTATAAGATGACTTCCTTTTGGTTCCTTTCAGCCAGTGCACCATTCTTTTCTGAGCGCATTATTCTAAAGGGGAATTGTGGCTAACAAACGAAAAAGTGCAATTCATTTAAATCGGGACTCACGAAATTACCTCTTGCATTTTCTTTCATAATTGATTAACAGTGGCAGGGCAGATTACAAACTAATTTTGGGAAATAAACTTTCATAGCAAAAACGAACAGAAATTTACAATGGCTGGAATTCAATGAGATCAGTTTACGGAACTATAACTTCTGAACTTAGTTGGGAAACTATGAGCTTATATGAAATACTGGCGATTGCAGAAATTGTGATACAATGTGCAGTGGACGATAAAGGGTACACTTTAACCATACCATCTTGTGCATACAGTGGCATGTTTCAAATCTGACTGACGTTATGAAACGTCTTATTTTTCGGGTTACGACGTGCATTCACAAAGAATCAAGCCTTGTAGGTGTTCGAAAAGTAAAAGTTTACCTTACATAGATGCAAAAAAATATATAGTAATTATTTTCAATTAAAGAATTAATTCTCCTTTTCTCCGATTAGTCTGTTTTACATTACCATTTAAAAAAAATTAAAATTGTCCTGCAGGAAAACTTCACACTGCCCTGAGATTGAATTGAATTAATAGTTTAAATGCAATTAGACTTAAAGGGCGTTAGTCTTTGTGTTTTCCTATAATCGCTTCGCCAATTTAAAGAAAATAGTGTATTTGACGCTAAGCCTAATGATGGGGAGGTAACCCCCCGAAATCGATAGCTAAAGAAAAATATAAAAACACTTCAGCCTTGTTCTCTTTTTTATACTCAATACTGATAGACTGATATGGAGACATACATCTTTTGGAAACTCTGCTACAATTATCGGTGGTGTAAAAGTTGAGCTAGACTGCATTTTCGGGTCACCTCCAGGATGATATTCCAATGAAGTGAAAGCCCCTCCTCCGCGATGCTTACGATCTTCGATACTACCACCTGCATCCATGAAAATTGTAGACGATGATCGTCTCAAGCAATGACCTGTGAATGCAGCTGGATCTTCCCAAACCCAAATAAGGAGCAATTAGTTTTGGTATATCTCCAATTTTGTTACTACACACGGATTGTTTTGTGCATTAGGAGTTCCGATAGTTTAAACACAGTCGACCTTCCACCGTGGGTGACCAAACAGCGGCGTATTTTAGATAAATATTCAATAAATATGGACAAGAAACCAATTTCGAAAGAAAATTCAACTTTTTTTTTTTTTTTTGGAACTGTTTGAAATTATGAATTCTACAGGCGACATTCTATAAGAAATGT